CTGCAGTCATTATCATAATTATTTTGTATTTTCATGTTTTGAAACTTATTTTTCCGCAACACAAATTTTTCACCATTTATATAGTATGCTCATTAAATTTTTCTGGCACAGCAGCTACACTGTTGAATAATGCTCTGTTTACGATCACTTTCCATTTATCCTATTACCCTGCACCAATTAACTCTCTTTTTCATCAAAATCTCAGGTATTACCCAGATTGCTTGAACAGATTTAAGTGTGTATCAGGCCATTGACATGTAAGATCAAAGAGCTCACTGTGCTGAGAATGATGGGCCACTGGCGGTTGATTTATAGGTGCTGCCACTGCTAACAGATTAACTAATTTGTCATACATACTAATAACTGTATCTTGATTTTGTGAAGAATATTTGGAGAGAGGATTTCAAGGTTTTTGAAAATATGTTGAACTTTTCTTCAATTGTAGATTTGTTAATTCTCACAAACTGTAAATGGTTACGGCACATTTTACTTGAGTTTAAGGTCCTCAAATGAGGTGAAGTGGGGTGCTTTTTTGATAGCAAATAGCCAAGGGCAATGCAGCCTTGACACAGATTGCATTTTCAGTCGAATACACTGTGTCACTCAAATTCAGACAATAAGTTCAAGAGGTTCTTTTATACATTTGATTCTTGAGACTAAAACCTAAAGCTTCCCCATACACAATGCTGTTGATGGCTCAGGTCATTACGTCTAGGAAAAAAAGACATATTAAGGGTTTCAGCATGATTTTTCCCCCTTACAACCTCCTCAAAGAAAGCCAGACTGGATCCACTTTCTTGAAGAGATTTTTCTTGTCATCCATTCCAATACATTACACTAAGCAGCACTCTTCTGTGCCTGAGCTGCAGAGAGTGGTTGGAGCTTGAGAAAAATTATATCAGCATTTCTAAGAGTGACGGGCTTTCTACTTGTTCCCATTGATCAAGATATATACAGTCCTTTCCTGTTTGTAGTTATATATATGTTGCAGTCTTTTTTAGATCCACTTTCTTGAAGAGATTTTTCTTGTCATCCATTCTGATACATTACACTAAAGCAGCACTCTTGTGCGCCTGAGCTGCAGAGAGTGGTTAGAGCTTGAGAAAAGCCTGCCGGGTCCCTCCCTGTCATCCATCCTGTCCTACAGCATGTTGATGTCGGCCTACTTAAGATCGGGGAGGCTATCAGCGACTGGAGACGCCGTGGCACCACATCTGTCTGTGTCAGCTCCTCCTGACTTGCGGGGTGGTTTTTAAGACGCGAGGGTAAAAGGGTTGGGCACTGGATCCATCTTAGTTGTCAAGACTTGACTCCTGATGAAAGGAAGAGTGCTGGAAGGGGTGTTTACTGGATTTCATCAGTCCTTAGATCTGATATGGAGTACTAGTAAAGTCTTTTGTTTGTGGGAAGGGTGCTCACTTTACATTTAAGAGGTCGTGGGTTCAAACCTCGGCCAGGTCAGGCTTTAAAAACTTACATGCTGCTTTGAAATTTTCTGATTAGCACTCAGTACTCAAGAGAAAAAGAACAAAACTCAGTGGGCTGACCCCTGCTGTTGTAGTGCTTGCACAATGTGTAACTCGAGAGAAATTATATCAGAATTGCTGCGAGTGACAGGCTTACTACTTGTTCCTATTGATCAATATATAAACAGTCCTTTCCTGTTTGTAGTTATATTGCAGTTTCTATATATAGGTCAGCCATGGATGACTTTCAATGAATCAAATCCACAGTAATACCATGTACATTTATGCTGGCCCAGAGGATTCAAAAGTAGGGCAGAATTGATCTACTTCTAATGGAAAGCCTTAGATTTCCGGAAAAGTACCCAGTGCATTTTGTAATTGTTGTGGTGGTGCCTTGTCTTAATGGAATCTTGCTCTAGTTTTGAAGGAGACAACAATTAAGGCAGGGAATTGGCAAATGTAGTAACGGTGTCCAATGTAGGTGACTTTTTTTTCAATTGTGTGTGTGTGTGATTGAGAAACTTTCATGTATGTCTGTATATTTTTTGGTCCTTTTTCTTGTCTGAGAAACATGTACATGTACATGTACGTGTGACAAGACTTTTTTTGCCTATAAATTAGCCAATATTTCTTTTGATATACTGTGTTGGTAGATGGGCCATTTACTATCAAAAGCAACACAAGAAACATTGTACATGTGTATGATTACAGAATTCTAATAGCAAACAATAATGTTTCTCCCATGTGTCTTAAAGTCTGTGTTTTCCATTTGCGATAAATCACAACACAGACTTTATGGCTGACTACAGGATCCACAGGGATGTGTTGCATGACAAATTACCATCTCCAGGGTGATTTCCCTCCTCTGCTTTAAAAGCATTAAATCTTAATCATTCAACTCATCTTCAGTCTTTCCCCAAGCAGTATCTAAGGGTTTAAACAGATACCACATTTGTCCAAAGCTTTTACCAGCTAGAAAATCTATAAAAAAAACACTTCTACTAAAATCACAAGACTCACTTATTAGAAATGTGGGACTATTCCTTAGCTACTGCCTCCAAAAATGAAGTAAAATTTCTCAGTAATGTACATAGAGATATCAAATATATTCATAGAATAGACAATTTGTTTCATCTCTTTACATTATAGTATCTTTCGTTCTTTCTTTCTTTTTTTTTGTATCTGTGTGTTCCCTTCCGATTAGCCTTCAGGCATTAGTTTGCAAATGAATGAATGTGCTGCTGTGTTCAGATGGACCATCTTACTCTGATAGGGTGATTCTGTGTTGTGTGTGTTATGGTAACCCTGTATGGTAACTCTTACTTCACAGTGCATAATGATGTGAATGGCTTAAATACAGAATGGGCATTCTGTCATGAATGCAGCCATTTGCTGTAGAGAGTGACTTTGAGGGAATGTGATGATACGTTGATAGCTGAGTGGCTAGGCTTGCGGACGTGGGGTTGAGAAGTCATGAGTTTTATTCCTGCTTAAAATGTTGTGTCTTTATGAAAGGCATTTAAAAGGACATTCCCTACTCCACTCAGGTGTAACTGGGTACCTGACTTGAGTTGGAGAAGTAAAATGCAGTGGAAGGAGAGGCAAAACCAGATTTTCAGCACCAAGGACAGGACCCATTAAATATTACTTTGAATTGTTTGTTTGTCTCACATAACCGGTAAGCTGCCTTCAGGCATAACTCAACAGTTTTATACAGTAAGTATAAGCTGCACAAGACAGAACTATAAAGTTTGAACAAAGGTCCTGCTCTTTGAACAACTCACACGGGGATCACTAGTGACTTTTCCATAAGTTTGGTGGGGTATTAAATAATGTGGTTGAGGTGAGGCTGTCCTAAAAAAATGGGACCTCTGGCTTTATGTTCCATCCAAGAGGACATCCCTTAACAAAACTAGGCACTCATTTTCACCTGAGTCAAGTGAGAAAATAGGTTTTAAGTGCCTTTCCCAAGGACACAACAGTGAGGCCTGCCAGGGATTCAAACCCAGAACCTTCAGATTCTGAGTCAACAACCCTAACCACAAGACCACCTTGCAACCTAAGGAATTTGGGAGCTAATCCTAAGACAGACTGATGTTGTCATCAAAACATCTCTCAGAACCTTTTCATGACTGTGACCACTCCATTTCATCCTATAAGACATGTTACTGTAGCATGTTACCATTAGTGATCATTATGGAGGTAATTACCACCTAATTAGGTTTGGAGTCAAGTAATCAGCTCGTTATGTGGCTGTAATTAAAGATACTTACTGTAGATTATGAAATACCTGCAGTGTTTTTTGTTAACGTTTTTTGCTGTAACACATTACTATAAACTCATTAATATGTACAGTAAGCATATTTTCTGTCTTGCATTCTGTTACAATCATAATGGTTGTTTTTTCAAACTTAAAACACTGGAAATGCCATAAAATGATGTCTCTTTGAACATGAAATGGATTTACACAAAATAGTCTATTTTGTGGTTTGCATGTGCTGGGGTAAAGTAAGGTCTGCAGTATAAGAAAAACACATTTGTCATATATACATGTATACTAGGTAAATGACATTCTAGTACCCTTTTTGAAACAGCTGTTAATCTGGGAAAATTGCAGCCTGAGATGATTGGTCCATTTTCAGCTGGCCAAAAATCACCAGCCTCTGTCTGGAAATGGAGTTCTAAAAGCATCATCTTGCTGAAATGTTTCTACGGGTCAAGAAAAATCTGTTTTTTATGTTGCAATGATAGACTATTATCCACGACTTAATGCCCGCGAAATAGGCTTTGCGGTCGTGCAATCAGCTTCTAGTGCTAATTGCAGATGCTGAATGAATGATGATGATTTTCCACAGCGTGTTCATGCAGAATGACAGTTAGGTCAAGTGGCTGATGACTGAGGCTGCTTTTTTTGGTTTGGTTTGGTTTTTCTTTTAATTCCCACGATCATGATAATGATCATTCTGGCATACTCATTTTCACCTGAGCAAAGTGAGGAAAGGCAAGGGCACAAGGTTGGTGACATGGCAGGATTTGAACCCGGGACCTCTTGATTCTGAGCCGAATACTTAATGCCATTACACCGCACAACCCTACAAGTAGCTGACAGTGCAGTTCAGACCCAGCACATGGCTTGTATGTGGAGCCAGCCCTACACCCCCACTCTTGTCTCGATGAGTGACTGACTGTGTGCCTTATGCCTGAAGTTCAACCTACTCTGTCTAGACAAACAAACACACAAACTAACAGCCACCCAAAACAATACCTCCATACCTGGAGTAACTAGAGAATTCACCAGATGTTTTACAATGCTCCTTTTAACTAGTCAAATATGTATTGATGATTAAAGTTAAATTTTTTGTTCCAGCACAAAGAATGGTTGATGCTCTTCTAGTGCTTTTGACCAGTCACTCTGGTGTTCCTCAATAGACTGACCCAGTGATGAGACTTGTCATGTAGCTTCTCAACATGTAACTTGAAACATGTAACTACCAACAAAGCAATATTTTCACACTGCCTTCTCTTTGTTTCCAGGTGGCATCATCTTTCTGGGCATGATGATAGGTGCAATCATCTGGGGCAGTGTTTCGGACAAGTTGGGGAGGAAAATGACGCTACTCATCGCTCTCGGCACCAACGCACTCTTCGCCCTGATCTCAGCCTTCTCCACGGGATACGGCTTCTTCATGTTCTGTCGCCTCTTCAGTGGGATAGGGTGAGTTTTCTTGTAAATCATTACCTTCGTCAGAAGGGTATGGTTTTGGTTTTGCCATGATGCAATCGTTGTGTGTGTGGAGGGGGACAGTATGTATGTTAACATCATAATTTGAGTAGTTGTGGATGGATCTTATAGATAATTGGTATGTGAGTAACTGTTGCAAATATGAAGGTCAAGTTAAGAAATGGTCCACCTGGCTTTTTCCAATGGTACTGCAGCAGGCTTTTCAAAGTCAAAATGAAATACTCTGGTACACATAGAGTATGGCATGGAAAACAAATAATCATTCTTTTCATATCAATGATCAAACACAACCTTTCTTTTCCTAGGCCCTATACAACTATACAACTTTCTGTTTGTTATTCCCCAGGATTGGAGGTTCCATACCCATCATCTTTGCCTACTATAGCGAGTTCCTCCCCACTAACAAGCGAGGCGAGCACCTGAGCTGGCTGTGTCTGTTCTGGATGGCAGGAGGCGTCTACGCTTCCGGCTTCGCATGGGCCATCATCCCTCATGCAGGTCAGACTTTTGGGATTTAATAAACATACTAGGTCCTGAGTAGTTTGATTTAGTGCAATCTACCCGTTAATCCTTAAAAGTTTGTAGTAATTTTTAGGTGTTAAATCATTCTACATTGTATATTTGAAATTAAGGAATTTACATGAAGCTCAGGTTGCATTGTACCCTGAGTGCCATCCGATTTGTAACGGCTACCACGAAAAAATCGGGGTAGCTATAATATATATTACAAATCGGATGGCACCCAGGCTAGTTGCATTGGTCATAGTTCGCCAAAAGTGCAAGGGGACACTCACAGACAGGATGTTACAAAATATTGTACAATAATGTTTTTTTCTCAAATACTTTTAGAATCATTAAGATAAGGCCACACCAATTTAATTTGTTGGTTCTCGGATTTTTTCAGAAAAAATATGAAGCGACAGGGCGAAAAAAAATAAAAATAAAAACTGGCCTAGGCATCCTATTATAGCCCCAAATGCTTCGATTGGAGCCATGAAGTCAACACAAAAAGCTGGGATAACATTTAAACAAAGAATTTTGAACTTTTAACCAAACCACTGCATTCAAAGATTGAAAAACTGTAACAACTAGGAAGAAAAGGACTTTCCTCAACTGTTGGGAGCAAAATATGAGCATTTTTTAGATGATTCAGAACCAGAATTTTTTTTTTTTTTTTTTGAAAATCAGAAAAAAATGAAGAGGCGAATCCGAGAACCAACAAATTAAATTGGTGTGGCCTAAATGGATAAACTTCGAAGGTGTCATGCTTTTTTTCTGTACATTTCTCATTATTTGATTCAAACGATCATTGACTGATTGATTGATTATACAAAGGTTTATTACCTAATCTAGTTACATGATGTTGTGTTTCCAGGTTGGGCCCTGAGCATGTCAGGTATCCACAGCTGGCGGGTGTACGTGTTTGTGTGCTCCATCCCCTGTGTCCTCTCCTTCATATCACTCTTCTTCATGCACGAAAGTCCACGCTTCCTTCTGGAGGTAAGTCTGTAGGAACAAAAGTTTATCTTCTAATTATTTTTTTGTGAACAGTACAAGTCTTGGGTTTGTATGTTTTGTGTAGGGACTGATCTCAACGTAGTTCTTGTTTTGTTGCCACTCTTCCAGGTTAACCAGCATGATGAGGCTATCAAAATCCTGAAGAAGGTTCACGACGTCAACCATCGCTTCCAGGAGGAGCTGGTCTATCAGGTCAGTCTAGAAGGGTTCTATCTGTTCTATAGAAGATGTTCTATCTGTTCTATTGACCTGGTTCTATCTGACAATCTGTTCTATAGAAGAGGTTCTATCTGTTCTATTGAAGTCGTTCTATCTGTTCTATAGAAGGGGTTCTATCTGTTCTATTAACCTGGTTTTATCTGTTCTGTAGAAGAGGTTCTATTTGTTCTATTAACCTGGTTCTATCTGTTCTATAGAAGAGATTCTAACTGTTTTATTGACCTGGTTCTATCTGTTCTATTGACCTGGTTCTATATGTTCTACAGACCTGATTCTATCTGTTCTGTAGACTGATACAGTTCTATCTGCTGTATAGACCCAGATCTATTTGTTCTATAGACCAGGTTCTATTGTGACTACTATAAATCTGGTTCTATCTGATCTATACCTGGTTCTATTTGCTCTATAAATATGTCAGGTCTGGCTAGAATGGTTCAATCCGTTCTCCAGACCTGCTAGCTCTATTGAGTTCCAGCCAGAATGGTTCTATATGTACTACAGACATTTTGAACTTCATACCTCATAAACTTAATGCTCCTTTTTACACCAGGTGACCAAGATTGATCTGCCCCCGCCAAAGAATGACGAGTCAACGTTTGTGGAGATCACAGAAGACACGACAACGTCCGCGGGAAGGTGGTTCGTCAGGGTCAAGACTTTCATCGTCCCTGTAAGGCACTCTCTAGTTCACCCTGCAGTATCTGTTTAGCATAACTATTATATGACATACATGTATATGTATATATTTTGTGTATATGTATAAAAGCCGTGCAAAGATGTGATGATTATCTTATTTGTAGACTGAATTTGAAATAGTTCAAAATATCATTTGCCTGGAATGAATCCACTGTCTCAAATTCTTCAAATGAAGTCAATTGTTCATATCAAAATAAATGCAGTTTAAAGTATAGTCTACTGGGGGTCAGCCCTATAGTTCTATGCCTGAATGGGTTACGGTTAGGATCAAGCACGGTTCTGGATAGCCTCTATTGTATCTAGAACCATGCTTATCTGCTTCTATGCCTGAATGGGTTAGGCTTAGGATCAGGCACTGTTCTTAATAATGTCCACATACGTGATATCCAAGAATTTAGATTTGCCCCAGGCACAGTTCTGGATGTGTACTTGTTACAAAGCCCCTACATTGATTGGGGTTGTTGGAACATAGATTGAGTTGATGGAGCATAAAGATGTAACCGTCTACTGTACATGTTTCTCTGTGTCTCCTCCCCAGGCCATGAAGAACAACTTGGAGCTGTTTAAGAAGGACTATCGCCGCACCACTCTCCTCCTGCTGGCTGTGTGGATCTCACTCGCTTTTGGGTAAACAGTCCTCTCATTTCTTTTTTTACCCAAGAAACAACAAATTGACTTTGGGTGGCCTTATTGTAAAATTGACTCAAGATTCAGGGGGAAAACAATGACTGGAAAAGGCGTACTACCTGCGTTGAAGTATTTTGATCTAACTTGTACCTATGAGTATAGGGAGGTTTTGTTTTTTGTCAGTTTGTTTGTTTGTCTGTCCGTGTATATATGAATAAAGTCGAGCAACAGAAACTGAGGGGGAAATGGTGTAACCACAGACTAACAGGAAGTTTGAATTGGAGGTCAAATAGTCTCCTTGTAAGTAGGAGAGGAAGTAAATAGTAGAAACTTTGTATTCGTATCTGTTGCCTTATGGAAGGCAGTGGAGATTGCAGAATCAAGAAATTCACAACATCTCAGTAGTACTTTATGATCACAGATTAAAGACAAGTCTAAAAATCTTTTCTCGTCGATCATGTTCCAGGTACTTTGGGCTGATCGTGTGGTTCCCAGAAATGATCAAACATATCCAGATCCAGCGTTACCTGGGCGAGACGGACCAACTGTACGACCAGTCCGTGTCCAACATTAACGTCACCAAGAACTTCCAGAACCGCGCGTACTACAACAGCAACTTCACCAACGTGTGCTTCGACAGCCTGAACATCAAACACGTGACATTCTCCAACTGTCTCTTCACAAACTGTTCCTTCAACAAGGTGTCGTCCAGCGAGCTTTTCTTCAAGGACAGCAGAATCAGCAACACGGTCTTCAACTACACAGACTTCTTCGACTACAAGTTCATACGCACCGTCCTGGACAACTCCTTTTTCTACAACCTGCGGAAAGGCTGTCGTCTGGACTTTGCCGAGAACTACAGCGCGTACTGGATGTATTTCGTGGCGTTCGTCGGGACGTTGGCAGTCTTGCCGGGCAACATCTTCTCCGCACTCATGATGGACCGGATAGGGAGGCTGTACATGCTGGGTAAGGGTGGTGTTTGTTTGTCTGTTTGTTATAAAAATATTGTTTTTGCTCTTTTTTGTCTTCCGTTCCAAAAAGGTCAATGACCAGAACCAGACATCTGTCACCATAGTAACTGGTGTTGGGTTACATCATGTTGCAATTTTATAGCAGGAGAGATTTAGACTCCTGTCACCATATGTATGAATGCGTTTGAGTAAGCATTAACAGTCTTAGAGCAGACCATACATTGTATGTGAAGGTATGTTTTTGCTTTGGAAATGTTACCTTTCTAGTTGAGGTTAGACTTTGTTACATGTTGTTTGTGACAGTTATTTTGCCACATTGTTGCCACAGTTGGGTCCATGGCGATCTCGGCGGTGAGCGTGTTCTTCATCTGGGTGGGCAACTCGGAGTCGAACATCGTGGGGATGTCCTGTCTGTTCAACGGAGTCACGATCATGGCCTGGAACTCACTGGACGTCATCACAACAGAGCTGTACCCCACCGGGAAAAGGTAGGGAACATCAGCACGTTGGCAGAACTGCAACTGCACCTGCATGAAACCCGCAATGTATTGTGTATAGAACTTGGGCAGGACGTCTCATATAAGGTCGTATTTTAACATCCGGTCTGTAGTTTCCAAATGTTGTGTCAGAAAAGTTGTTGTCTGCAACAGGCAAAATTCTGATGCAGCGTTGACCAAACATTGAACCAAAATCGTGAAAAATTGGGGTTACACGCAGGTGCAGTGTGTTCTGGCAACATGCCGGTAACATCAAAGGACAGAATTTCTACAAACCCATTTAGTTTTTAGTACCTACATGTATCAATTGGAAGGCAGGGCCTGACCTGCCAGTTGTTTTTTTTTTTTTTAGCGGTATCGCTCAATGCAAGGCCAATTATATTTGGCCACTTCTAGGCATAGAGCTAGAGGTACTTAGGGGAGTATATTGTAGCTATGTCATGAGATGGCGGTGGACCTTTGTGTTCTTGACAGTGTTCTTGATTCAGCCCTTTTCATAACAAACATTAAGCCAACTCATCATGGCCTCCCTGGAAGTCATCACAAAAAAGTTGTTTGCACAGGGAAAGGATAGAGAACAGCCATTTGGCACCATTTGTGTATTGGTAATGCAGGGCCAGACAGCAGGAAGACGGTTAAGAGGCCAGCATTTATATGCAAATAAAGAACGTTTCTTCCTTATTGCTCCTAAAGTTTTTTCAAATACATCTAATATTTGGGGCAGGATTGATCATTCATAAAAGACAAAAACTTTTTCTGCAGGGAGAGGAAGTAGAATGTGTCCAACGAGGTACAAACTTTCCATTCATGTTGATTTTGTGTTCAGGATTTATCTTTTAAAGCCTTAAATCCATGCTTGCTGTGTGTTATTGCTGTGTAATCCAGGTCGACTGCGTTTGGTCTGCTGAACGCCATGTCCCGTATCGGAGCGGTGATCGCCAACGTGCTGTTTGGCCAGATGATCGGCATCAACAAGGCGGTTCCCATCCTCCTGACCGCCGCCATTCTGGGATCCGGCGCGGCCGCCGCCTGGAAACTACCCGACACGAAAAACGTGGCTCTGACGTGACGTAATCGTTGCTGCTAGTCCACCACTCATCCGGCCCAGAGTCTTGCCAAGAATCAAATAAGTAAGAAAGTTTAATAAGAGGATTATCGTCTGTGCTTTCTGTTTTTATTTAGGATCCTTGTGATCTGAAAAAAGAAGATTGTGCAAAATTACAACATTTCTGCCAAAAGAGAGCTATGATTTTGTTTGACAAGTCTTCATGATCACTGCATGATTCAGAGATTATGTATTCTAATATGACTAGTAAATCTGTTTTGTGACAGTCAGGTTTTCATAGAAACTCTTTTGTAACCTCCAAACATGGGTTCCAAAGTCAGCTATCCAAGACACCAAGACGTGATGTGTTCTTCCCTTGTTGCCGTGGTTTCTCTAGGGTTGACCAATGGAAATGCAAGTTTCCAAGAGTGTAACTTAGAACTAGAATATTTGAACCAATGAATGTGAAGCTGATAATCGACCAATCAGGCAAGCCAAAACAAAAAAGTAATACAAATGTATTGTGTAAACTGATTGTTTATTGGGTGAAGAAATATATACATATATAAATAGATAGATGAGTAGATAGCTGTATTGTACATAAGAAAAGAGCTTATTATATTGGTGCTCTTGATGTATAACTTAAGAGATACATTCGGTTTGGGATGATAAACTGTCAATTGTGACATTGCTTGAACTGGTGCTGGGAAATATCATGAAGACACTTGATCAAGTATTTTCAACTTTCTATGCCAATACTCACAAGTTTAGTGACCTTTTCCTTTGCTCAAAGCTGCAAAGTTCTTATCTGCTATTTTTCTGGTAATATTTTCAAACAAGCTCAATACTATAAAGCAGGCCTTGCCCCAGAGGTGTTGCCAAAAACATCTAACTGGAGCAATGTCACCAGTCTAAGCTTTGTCACCATAGATGGTAGATCCTCTCAAAATGCTGTGTATCTTTTTTTACATGCACTAAGTGAAGAGTTATAGTCAAGTGTGTCACTGAGCACATATAAAGTGGTGCTAGCTTAGATCGGAGAGCTGTGGTCGTGAAAGCTTGGTACGACTGAATTCTAAGTGTATATAGTTGTTGTATTGTCCACACCCCTCGTACAGACTTGTGTGATCTGTTGACTGAGGTTCCAGTGATGTATGTAGTGGTATGGGAGCAGCGTTTTCCCGTTTTTAGAAAGATTTCCTCCATGTCTATATTGCTGCGCAGTGATAGAGTCCTGTATATGGTAGATGAAAGTGTTTATGATATGCTGTGAAATTAAGATGTGAAATTAAGGGTCCTTGTAAGATGTAACTCAGTGGACAGTATGCTGAAGACATCATCTCTATTGTTATTCAGCCTATAATGGAAGAAAAAATAACAATTGCTGAAGACATGCAGCTATATGATATGTAAGTACGTACATTCAATTTCTGCAGCAACAACCTGTTCCAGTATCAGTTTGCCCGATGTATTGGGCAGATAGGCAACATTCTTTCAAGTTTTGACCCCTCCCCAAATACATTTTATAGATGGACTGAAGGAATAGTGAATTTCAATGTCTGTAATAATGATGTCAGTCATCATGTGATCCAGGGAATTGCATAATCAGGCAACTTTAATTCGTGAGTTTTTCCAGTACAGTGCTAGAAAATGAGATAAAAACTTCTGAGTAAGTTTGATTCCTCCCCACTGTATCCCAACATGGGAGTATGGTCTAATTGTACTCCAACATGGCACTAGGATATCATGTTACCCCAGGATTTGTCTGTATGGGTTTGCAATATGGTATCAACCATGTGTCAGGTATTTGTTGAGAGTACTGGGCTAAACCAACATTCAACATAGGGATGCTGGTAGATCATTCTAAGGGGTGGCAAAGTCGTTGTTATAATGTGCTTGAGTCTAGTGACACTTTGTTCTAATTCAAAAAGATTTTGCAATAATTGCAATGAAGGAAAAGCCTTCAGTGCACCAATATGTGGTACTACTTAAGAGCCATGTCCCTTAGACTACTAGTATCTCATAGAACTGTTGTAAAGCAAGAAGTTTACATGGAGCTTGGTTGAACTATGGTTAGCTGTGACGCTCTGTAGGCATTATGTTTTACTGTTGATGTGGTATTCTGTATACATGCAAGAACGCCGTTTCTTTCTCTTCACTTCAAGTTATTTTGTGCATCTCAGTTTTTTGCCGTGTGCTCTTTGGGTTTGACTTTTGAGCAAATCCATTTAGCAGCCAATGATTGGTGACAGAGTTTTAGCACTTGATGGAAGAATAGAATTGTTATCTGTATGTGTGACATTATTAAGGCAGAAGCCAAGTGAAGTGGACAAAAAGTGTTCATGAGAATAAGGGAAAAAATACTTTATTGTACAGAAGTAGATGTAATGTTCAATATGGTGAAATCAGTGTTTCCTACTTGTTTTAGGTTGTTTTAATGGTTTGGTTATTTTGATGTAGAATGATATTTTTGGCAATCAGAGTGATAAATGTTGAAATGTGTTTTCACCAGTCAGTTCTAGGAAAATGCACGAAGCAATGTGACTACTAGAGAAAGTGCTACGAAAATGCTTGTTATTAGCACAGAATACCCAGAGCTTTAAAAAGGATGTGTATGTTTAAGTAACAATAGGGATTGAAAGGAATGAGAACAGGGAATGACACCCAAGTTGTAAAGCTTTTGTGGTCTGGAAAAAAAAATGAAATGAAACCACTACTTTAGAATGTAGATAACAGCAAATGTAGGACAATGTGTCTGAACTGAAATCTTGTATAATTTGTAGTCACTTCTGTGAGACGTTGTGGGACAACATTTCTGTATGTGTAGGTGTAACAATAAAGTATAGTGATGTCAAAGTGTGGAGTGTGGCTCTGTCCGTGGTGCTGATAATACAGTTCAATCTACAAACAGAATTGCCAGGTTTGGACGTGTCTTTTTTAGTAATACTGTAAAATCTGTCATTGTAGTTAAAAAAAAGGCTGCCAGAGAACCCAAATTTTAACCACATCTGTATAAGCCCAAGAGCTATCTACCTTTTAAAACTTGCATATTTCAATTGCTTTATAGGATGTAGTAGAGTTTTATTTTGCATAAATGGTACGTTTTTCAGAGGTTATTGGGTTATTGAACATTGAAATGCCAGAATTATTAAGAAAAAGCGCCGTATTTAGCTGCTTGTACAAGTTAGTATACATTTAAATGGTACGAATATAGACAAAAAAAGCCCCATATTCAGCCGCTCGCAGAAGCCGTTCTGGGAATTCTTGTCTCAAAATAAACCGATGCAAGACTAAAACGGTTCTTTACTGATAAATTCGTGCTATCTTTGAAGTTGGGGTGAGCGTCAAGGTCAAGAACAAGAGCGGGAAAGACCTGGAGTAAAACCCCCATAAGAGCCCATCGCGTTTCCCCACTCGCGAAATGGCCAAATCTGGGAATGAGCGAGGCTTCGTTAGCGAGATACGGGCCTTTTCGGAACGGGCGCTCGAAAACGGGGGTGTGATAGGGGATAAATTTTCGCTTTTTTATTTTTAGAAAAATACAATTTATGACATGTTTAAGATTCCTTATTGACACAGTATACTCCTAACATACACTAGTCCATACTTGCGAAGTGTCTTTGTCCAAAGTTGCTTTATTCTGGAGTTATAAGCCAAAACGTGATTTTGCGATCAGCTGATCGCTTGCAGAACGCGTCGCTGCCTTTGCAGAAGTGGAGTTTTCGCTGTCGAACTCATTACCATATGAATGGAAACCAAGCAGATGTTAGGGCAGCTAGAACTCGAAATCATCCTATCTAGAAACATTTGCCAGGCCCAGAAGATCACAGAACCAAACCGCAAGCAAAATACACGTCGTCTGGCGTGAAAATATGTCACCTTACGGGTTCGTTCACCGTTGATTTTACATCTTCGTCCACATACGCCTCCCAGCTCAAATGTATGGGGTTGACTCTTGTTTCTTTATTTACCTTTCATACAAATCCATCACTAGCTCACTCAGTCCCAGAAGTTACAAATTCACACCGTGATGGAATTTCATGATCGCTGTTTTACCAGCCCATACACACAGCTGAACGGAAAATACATGTTTACAGGAACATAGAGTTGAACGACTTTGGTTGATTCACTGTTAGGCCGACCGTCTCTCTTGTGAGTGCGGGGCTCATGGCTAAAAGCGCCACTTGTGCCAACCTGCGCATGCATCTCACCACCCTTTCACACTCGCACACGTCCACTCACTTTGGTAAAATAGTCTGAACTTGGACGTAAACAAACAATAAAACGGATAACAAGTAGGAATAAGCTGCACGATTGTTGTTTAATTCACTGAGTTCAGTCATTGGCACGAGACAAGCTACCCTTTGACCCAGACTAGTATCGAGCCGTGAGCGGTTTCCCTTCGGTAGCCGAGAGCACTGCGCCCGCCTATCTCATGAACCGCTACGGGGGAGAAGCAGAGTAAATATCCAATCACGCGGAGAAGTGTACCGATTTTGGAGGAATGTACGCTCAAAACCGGAGGAACGTCCGCTCACCTGGAGGAGTGTACGCTCAAACCTGGAGGAATGTCCGATTTTGTGAGGAATGTACCAATTTCGGAGCAATGTCCAGATTAGATTGGTCGAGGTGATTGGGTAAGGCGAAAAAGTACAGGGTACGGCACGAATTACCGGGTACGGCTTGAAATTTTCGCGGGTACGGCACGACTTTCCGGGTACGGCCATAATTTTTGAGCGGGTACGGCTTAAATTTCCGGGTACGGCTTGAAAGGAGTTTGATGGGGGTGCCATCACGGCATGCTCACGGGTCCTCCAACACGGTCTCTGACGGCGTCACAACTGGCCCCCCCGCGTCATATCACGGCTCGCTACCGGGTCCCCATCTCGACACGCTCCTTCCTAAAATTAGTTATCGTCCAAGAGATAAGTTTAGAGGCCGGGCCGGGCGCCAACTTTGGGCTCGGGCCGTCTAGCGTCCCCCCGGTCGAAGGGAGAATCGTCTCGCGCTGGTGTAGGGCGTCCAGTCTCGATCCTTTCATGCCATCAACGGATGCTGCCCGCCTCCGTTGTCAGTTCATGGGGCTTCAGCTCACGGCTCAAAAGCGCCGTCTAACTGCGGAATGTTATTACTGCAGGCCAAACATGCTGCTACGGGTTATGTCACTCTTCGCTCCATATATGGCAAGGAACTCCATATATGGTAAAGGGGAGACCGAAAAACAGGGATCCTACGTTGTCCGTGACACCTGCATTCCATATATGGTAAAGGGGAGACCGGAAAACCGGGACCCAATGCTGTTCGCGACACCTGCATGCCGTGACTGCAAATCTAACATGAACCGCTAGAGGCCCTCACTGACCTGTCTATTTGCGGTCCAAAACGAGGTCCTAGTGTGAGGTACAGCCCCTGCATCATCATCATGGCTACCGCGGCCAACAAACTAACGTGAAAACACTTCCTCCTCGTTTTTACCAAGATAGAAGCTATCGCCACGGGTTTCTTGGAGCCGTAAGTGACTTACAGAAGGCCGAAGTTCTCCAGGATGTGGTTCTTGAAGTCGAGGGCCGCCGGTTTCCCTGCCACCGGCTTGTTTTGTCCGCCCCTACTTCAGGGTCAGGCGCCCGGGCAGCGCTTTTGATCCCTACAACCGGGCACCCATCACGGCATGCTCGCGGGTCCTCCATCACGGTCTCTGACGGCGTAACAACCGGCTCCCCGTCATATCATGGCTCGCTACCGGGTCCCCAGCTCGATCGGCACACTCTTTCCTAAAATTACTTGTCGCCCAAGAGATAAATTTGAGGCCGGACCGTGCGCCAACTTTGGGCTCGGGCCGTGTAGCGTCTCCCGGCCGAAGGGAGCTCATCGTCCCGTGCCGTGCTGTCCAGAGTCCGGCATCCAGTCTCAATCCTTCCATGCCAAGCACAGCTATCCCCCTCCGTTGTCAGTTTTAATAAAATGAAATACCTTTATTGTACATTCATACCACGACGGGCTACAGGTCAAGACTTAACAGACACATAACAAACGTATGTAGAATCTAGAAAAGTGGAGACAAAAAGATACATTTAATATGGGGCTTCGGCTTACGACTCGAAAGCGCCGCCTAACTGCGGAAGGCCTGCTGCTATGGGTTGTCACTCTTCGATCCATATATGGTAAGGAACTCCATATATGGTAAAGGTTTCCATATATGGTAAAGGGGAGACCGGAAAACTGGGACCCTACGTTGTCTGTGACACCTGCATTCCATATATGGTAAAGGAGAGACCGGGAAACGGGGACCCAACGTTGTCTGTGACACCCGCATTCTGTGACTGCAGTTCTAAGATGAATCGCTAGAGGCCCTCACTGATCTGTCTAGTTGCGGTCCAAAAACAGGTCCCAGTGTGAGGTATAGCCCCTGCATCATCATCATGGCTGCCGCTGGCCAAGAAGCAAACGTAAAAACACTTAGTCCTCGTTTTTACCAAGATAGAAGCCATCGCCACGTGTTTCTTGGAGCCGTAAGTGACTTACAGAAGGCCGAAGTTCTTCAGGATGTGGTTCTTGAAGTTGAGGTTCTGGAGGGCCGCCGGTTTCCCTGCCACCGGCTTGTTTTGTCCACGGCCGGCCGCCCGGCCCCTATTTTCGGGCGATGTTTACATCTGATATGGCGGAGAGTCGGCAGAAGACGGTTGTTTTGAAGGTAAATTTGGCGCAAATCACAGCTAAAGTACAGCAAAACTAGTCCCTGTAGGGATTCTATGTATTGTTTTGCCACAGACGAATGTTGACGAATGTACGCCAGACTGAAATAGCCATGTTAAAGATACTGTAATTTCAATCATTTGGTGACATGGCTGGATTCAAACCCAGGACCTCTTGGTTCTGATCCGAATGTTCTACCGTTATTCCACACAACCCCACATGGCACAAGTTCAAAAGTTTCAAAATTTACCATAGCTGAAAGTAGAAGTATGTGCCTTTAAGTAGCATAAAGCAACAGTTAATAGTAAATACTTCAAGTACATCATACAGTGCAGTAAATACGTTTGTTGATCGAGTTGACCGAGTTGATCGAGTTGACCAGGGTAGTGGACCGAGTTGACCGAGTTGATCGAGTTGACCGAGTTGACCGAGTTGACCGAGTTGATCGAGTTGACCGAGTTGACCAGGGTAGTGGACCGAGTTGACCGAGTTGACCGAGTTGGCCAGGGTAGTGGACCGAGTTGACCGAGTTGACCAGGGTAGTGGACCGAGTTGACCGAGTTGACCGAGTTGACCATTATATTGCTCCACAGGGTTTGGATGCAGCCATGTTTGGGGAGATCCTGAGTTACATCTACTCGGGAACCCTCCACGTGTCCCTGGACAGATTGCAGCACCTGTACCAGGCAGCCGACTGCAAGCAGACTTGTTGGGCAGCGAAACCTTCTCTTCCCAACAAAACTTCCTCGGCGGCAAAATTGTCCCTCCACAGCATATATGTACCATTGTATCTTGTAAGATTCCTCGTGTACTGGTATGAAAACCAAACCATATATGTAAGGTGGGATTCGACACTGTCTTCCCGCTTCAGTGTCTCAAACGGGGTCCGTCAAGGGAGCCTCCTGTCTCCTCACCTTTTTAATGTTTTATTATATTAATGACCTAAGTCTAAGATTGATAAATGCTAAGGTTGGTTGCGGTTTAGGTAGTTCTGTAATGAACCACCTCCTTTACGCTGATGATCTATGTTTGATTTGTCCTAGTGTAAAATCCCTGCAGAAACTGGTTGGGATCTGTGAAATGTTTGGCAACAAAAATGATATTTTGTACAATGCTGTTAAAACCTGTTGTATGTTTAGAAGTTGTCCTGAGAGCCAGACTCGTAAGGCCAATAAAGATCAAGGAGGATAAACAACAAAAAGTTCACTTATGCCAAGTCTGTGCGACATATTGACTGCAAAGTTCTTTTGAACTTCAGTCTTCACTTTGTTAACATTTACGTGAACTTTAACCCTTGTAATATATATCCCAATTTTCTGGGCTCATAAAAACATGTCACACACAGCCTACATTTTGTACATGTACAATGCTTGTCAGTTGTCAGAATCATCTTCACCTGTCAGTGGGGACCCCTAGCAGCACAAATTATTTTTGCACCTGTTGGCTGCTGCACGTTCACTGTATGTGGATGCTGATTGGTCCAATAAAATAGAATGACCAATCAGCTTCGACTACTTATTGCTCTGCGGAAATAGGACACCGAACACTAATCCTTGCGATAAACATTGCAAGGATTGATGTCACCGTACATCAAATAAGTAAGCATTGCCGTATGGTGATTGGTCAGTGTAATATTTATTGACCAATCACTGGGCAGCATCTTTGCCATGGCTACTTAATTGCAGCATTTATTTCACTGGCTGCTGGGGGTCGCTTTTAAATAAACAATGCGAATTTGTATCTCCAATATTACCGTTGTGTTGTACTGGATTATTCCACTGCGTGGCGTTCTTGAAACGTGGCAAAAAATCTGCAATGTCGGGGATTGTGGTTTGTATCGAGTTGTGTTCAGTTGCGAATGGAGAAAAGTAGAAAAACCAAGCAGTGAAGGTACGTTTTGTGAAATGATATGGCTTCTGTTGCTTCTAAGCTTTCTAAATCAGAGGATAATGTTGCCTGGCGTCGTACAATTACTAAAAATCGCCCTGATGTGCCTACGTTCATTGTTTAGTCTTATGTTATATGGAACTCCTTACTTAGGATTCTTATATGCAATGACCTAGATATTAGTCTTGATATTTTGATAGTCTTGATATGCTCAAGAACTTCCTATGCGTTGTATTGTTTCAATTGCTGCCACAAGTGCTCATAAACATGCAAATTATTTCAAGACATGCAAATTATTGGTCAACTGTCACCCGCTATTTGCCTACCACTCGCTGGCAGTGACGTCATGACGATCGCTCCGATAAAGTTGCTTGATTAGTGATTTTTTCTCATTTGTCCTGTTTCACTACGTAGTGCGACCTCTGTTGGTATTTTTCCAGATCTGCAGACCACAGTAAGACAAAGAACGGACCTGTTAACGTTAACCATCAAGCTGAAAAGAAAATCCCTCTAAAATCAGGAAAGCCTGAAAAATGTAAGGCACTACCAACAGCCTCCATAATATGCCAACGCAACGTACCCTAATCCATAACTATTCCCATAGCTAAAGGTTTCGTTTCTTCATCTCTTCTTGAAATAGCCAATAAATTTGACACGGCAGGACTGGGAAGGAAAGTACGTGACCATACATACCTACATGCCCGTACAACTGATCCTACTTAATGCCTTCTTCATCTTATGGTTGACGCCTTAGATATGAAGAATGGACATTTCTAGAATGTCTAGACGATATTGCAAATTTCCCAGTAGACGATAGATTTACGGAACTGCTTTCTGAAATGCGAAGGCAGGATGACTGGATTGGAGTCATTTCTATGTGATAGAATTCCCTGGAAATGGTTGTCTATATCATAACTGAAGTACACTAAAGCTGAAATTGCACCGTGCCAAATCCGGTTTTGAAAGGAAAGATGACTTAGGCGGCACAATATCCTACCAGCCTGGGCGGAACAGACTTCTCCTTTGTGTGCTGGTGGATCAAGAAGATTGCCGTCTCTGCGCGACTGGTGTGTGCATAATTCATACACTTGTCTGAAATTCCCGTAGAGAGTGCAATCCACGGGATGGTGCGCCGGCGGCAGCCTCCTTAGCTGGCTTGCGGGTTGCCCTCTTGCAGGGCTTCTTTTGTGCGTTCTGGCTCCAACAGTACATCACTTCTGATTGTACGCGGCCGGTTGTAGCCAGTCGACTTCTTCTCACAAGAGACGAAGAACAAGAAACCGGGTACAACTGATACAGGAGGCAAGATCGGTGATCTTCACAGTAGCCTAGTACATGTAGTTGTTGTTTTATGGTTATATAGTACTGTATTATATCTGTACATATTTGTTTTTGGATGGGGTACTCCCATGACGGAGGAATAAAGAAATGACCGAATGAGTGACTGAATGGATGGATGGATGGACATGGATGGATGGATGGATGGATGAGTGAGCGAGCGAGCGAGCGAGTGGGCGGGTGGATGGATGGATGGATGCATGGATGGATGGATGGATAAATGAATGAAATTTACTGCTCGGTGATTGTCTAAGGTACAAACCTTTTTCTTCGGACATCGAATATTTAAGAAGCAGAATAGTGTCAACGAACTTCCTACTGTCCGTTTGATCCCCGTAATACCTCATGACGCCAAACCAATCAGAGCGTTCGCTTATGCACTACGCGAATATTCAAATGCCGGGCGATCCTAGGCGATCCTTCATCTAACGGTGCCAGACTTTTCCGGCAGGGAGGCGATCCGTCAAAAGCCCGAGAGCCGGATCCGGAGCGAACCGGAGCCGATGGAAATAGAAGTCTGAACCAGAGAAGATTTTTTTTAACTCAACAAAAAGTGAAACGACTTTCGGGCGGCCAACTTCTAAATAGAAACACATCACGAGTCTTAAAATTCTATCTTACTAAGAAATAAAGGGTAACAATTAACACATATAACTCAATTTGTAATATCTTGTTGCAAATCAGACTGACTAACCGTGGGTATCTTTTCTTTAATATTTGCATTGTGAGTGCTGTTACAACTAAATATATACATCGAATCTATTGAAATCATACATGCTGAAATGTTAATGTTAACTTACCCCGTAAAGTATCATATCTAGAGCATTCATGATAAAGTCAAAGTCGTCTTCAATTCGTTTTCTTTCAAAATGAGCAAATCTTTGGCCGGGGCTCTACTGCATTGAATAGAATGGGTTTGAGTTTATTGCACTAGAAAAGATTATGGCACGCATTTCCGATTCCCAATATATAAAACGTTAAAACGTTCCAAATGTTGTGTTCAAATCTCTTTATCCCAGCAGACTCTTTATACACGCCAGTCACGTCTGGTTACATCATCAGGCGACTCTGAGTTTGTCAGCCTTAGCCTACTGATATATGTCAGTGCATGCGAGGGTTTGATATACTCTCCAAGCAGAGGTTTGGGTTTGGGGGGTATTTTTAGCGTGTTTTTAGGCTTTTTTTATCTGGGTTTCTCTTTTTGCACTGAATTTTTTTTCCCGTGGGTTTTGGTGGAAGGAAAAAAAAATTCAGTGCAAAAGAGATACCCCGATAAAAAAAAGGCTAAAAACACGCTAAAAAATACCCCCAAAACCCAAACCTCTGCTTGGAGAGTAGGTTTGATAGTCTCTGCAAAATTGTCGAAGGTGAAAAGTACTCAAGATGCTCCCAAATAATCGCCTTCGTAGCACATTAAAGTAAACGTGCTTCTACGAACCATTATGATGTCTGTGGTAAGACGGCCAGCGTTGATGCCAGAGCCATTATGTGCATACCCTTCTAACGTTACAAGAAGGAATAGATCTAGAAGAACCAGGAGAAGATGGACACATTAGTAGATGGACTGATGATCAGTAACGCCTTAGGATAAGTTCTCATCTCACATTGAACGTTACCAGTAACGCAATATCGATATATATACTTGTCCGCACGAATTCCTCGAAGTTCCGTTCAAAGATCGGGCCGGCCTTGGATATTCAGTACATGTTACGCTATAACAATAGTACTATAAAAACAAAAAGGCAAAATATTTCTTTCATTTTGTGTTACCTCTCTTTCTGTCGGTGTGTGTGAGTGTGTGTGTGTGTGTGTGTGTGTGTGTGTGTGTGTGTGTGTGTGTGCGTGTGTGTGCGCGCGCAAGCGTTGAAGCGCGACATGTACTCTCTATGGGTCATCTAGATTGACACTATACATCCTAATACTTCCTGTTTTGTCTTATTCGGGTTTCGAAACATCAGTCACAACAGAAACCACCTACAAAAGACCTGACCTTTCGGACTGAATGACGTCATACTAATTTGCATATCGGCCGCGTCACGTGACAGCGGCGCAAAACACGGAAGTGTTTCTCGTCAGTCCGTGATGGCGGAGCTACAGGGGAGGGTCTTAGATCTGTTCGCGGCTCAGGCCACCCGGCCCCGCCGTACCACCGAGGTCGCCGGCAGCCTGGGGATCACCAAGAAGGAGGCGAGCACGGCCCTGTACGCGCTGCAGCGTCAGGGCGCCGTGGAGCGCGTGCAGCAGTCGCCGCCGACTTGGCGCCTCCTGCCCATGGGGCCCCCGCAACAACAGCCGCCGCCGCCGCCTCAGCAGCGATACCCCATGCAGCAGCAGCAGGCCGGCAACTACGGGGGATACCCGCCTCCTGCCTCGGCAGGCTACCAGCCACGGCCACAGAGAAACAAGGTGCCGCGAGGAGGCAAGGGCAAGGTAAGGACCAGCTAACATTACAGAAGACTAAACCTTTCTTTTCAACATCTAACTCTCGATCAGAGCTACACCATTAGTATTACCCACTATTCAAATCAGCTCGTCATGTCAGCCTTAAGATGGTCGTCAACGTGGAGAAGATCGATGGTAAGACGAGGAAGAAGCACCAAATAGACAGGGGGCTTTGGGAGATGACGTATAAACAGTTACACCTGTTCAAATCTGACCCGCTGGGTCCCGAAACCTGTCCGGACCAGTCCGGGGGATTCCCCAAGGTTTCGGTGCAAAAATAGTAACCTACACACGGGGGGAATTTAGTCCTCTCACACGTTAATTTTCTCATCAAAAATCACAAAAAGAAAAGCATCAGCGAGATGGTAGGAATGATTTTTTTTGTCGCTTTTGCTCTTCTTTCCTTTACTGCCACTTTCACTAAGTGGGTTTAAATATGCTTGCTTTCGCTTTCATGAGCTGTATTATCCCCAGGCCACTTTCTTTCTGAACAGGTTGGCCGGCTGAGAGCTGGCCCTGTTCGCCCCCCTCCGAGTGCGCAGCGCCGCGTTTTTCTTTGTGGTCCCGCCGATGTGGTGCTCAAATTGATTAACCCTCCCTCTCCTAATGATGGATCCCCGTGCCGGTTTGCCTGACATCTGCGCCTCATATTCCTCTGGTTCTGCCCCCTACTTCACCAGATCAATATTTCCTTTGTCTTGTAGGTTTGTCTCGTGCCTGTCTCTAGGTAATTTGGGAAGGACGGCCCTTATGAATCTTTTAGAGGGATTCTGTGTGTTCTAGCAGGTGCATCACTGTATTAGACATCCACTTGTCTTTTCAGAACTGCAGTGTTACTATGTCAGGAGGCATAGAGGGCAAAGTCTTTTGTTCAATGTGCTTAACTTGATTTTTATGATTAAAAAAATTATTTTGAATTTTTTAGCAGTGCTGCATAAGTGCTGAAAGGAATGGAATGAATAAATCCCTTTGTTCAAGATGTCTACCTTATTTTATGTAGGGCCTGCTGTCTAACCATAAAAGCAATGGAGAATTGTTCTAGCCAAACAGCTACTTCAGCGTGCTAAAGGTTATTATGTCATTTTCACATGATGTTTCTGAAAATGACGGTTATAAAGATTCTTATGCCACATTTTATACTGTTTATACCACATACGCCAGTCCATTTTACAACAGCAAGCAAATTCACTGGATGTCATTTGAATAAAACGCATTTCCCTAGATCCAATCATCATGTGCATCCAAATTGATTTTAGCCATGTTGGATTTCAAAGGTTCGAGAAAAAAAAGAACAAGTTGGACACCAAACCCTGCTGCCAAATTTAAGTACACACAGCTATAGCATCTGGTGTGAAGTGAACATAGCAGAATATTCTTGTCACCATTCTAGTGTGAGGAATAGCCTCCAATTTACCATTGGCCTTCTCTTTGAATTGAGCTGCTCTTTTATATGACTAATGCTATTGTAGTAGAATTATGCAGTTATGACAACAGTATACTAGCATTTAACACCATAATAGTGCATGTAGACCCAATCTCTGTTACATTTCTTCATCATTTTGTGATCTTTCAAATTTCCGTCAGTCAGCCATGTTTGTAGCAGGTGTTCTTTCCACATGATCCTCACGTCAGTCAGTCACACCATGGTCTCCTACCAACGTTATTGTCATGCAAATTGCCAAATACGTCATCAGATAAAGGTTTCTATTCGCCATTAATCAAGTCCTATTATCACTTGACGCACTGTCACGTCACAACACAGTAATTATGCCCGAATATGTGCCTTTTTTGTTGCGGCAATAACATTTCTTCCTCTCGGGTTTTTAATATGGATAAATGGTATAAAAATATGGACCCTGATGGACAGTTTGTGTTTTAATATTGAGTCTTGCTCATGGGAATTGTTGTCATTATGATATTTTGTTCCAAATATTGTCCACCATATTGGAAGTACAGCAGTGCTATTTTGCCCTGGAATTTGTCAAAATCATGTTTTTTTTTAAAACATAAAGATCCACCCCTTAATATCTATTGAGCCAGAAAAGACAGTTCTTCAATATGATGTACATACATGGAAAGATAAGGCAGAAAAATATAATATGCATATTATGAATGTAATATAGATAATTTTAAGAGTGTAATATAGAGGATGTATTCTTCTTGTCCAGTTTTACACTGTGTCATATTTATTCAAACAGTATTACTATTGATTATACTCTGATATTTGTACAATTATATTCAAAATGAGTCAGTATTTATACTGCCATATACAATATAGTAACTGACAATCAGTTTTCAACACGGTGTAAATTATTTTGTAGGGAGCTCCTTTTTAAAGGGTTGATATGTAAAGTGACAGGAGAGAATCCAGCATTTGATGTATTACCCCAGTATGATGGCTATAATATAGCCCAACAAGTTTGGGTAGAGTCACAAAAGGCGTGCGTGTACATACATGTCAGCAGGCAACCGGGCCAAAATTTATGGCCACCATGTCTAATCTGGTTACATGTGTACCAGCCACAACCAGAGATGGGAGATTGCTTCAAATATTTCAAAATACACTTTTACACTGTGCTAGCCAGCCGGACATTTTTGTCAGCCACCCTATTTTTGTTTGACGTAATTACCTCGCACGAAAATCTTAGAGGTGTCCAGGTGAAATCTTAACTCTCTGAAATGCTATTTCCTGCACTTTAAGGGGCCCCTTCCATGCTATGCATCGAAGAATTACGTAGATGAAAGGATGATTTACAGGCACAAAATATAATTTTTATGTTTCTACATGATTTTTGAGATTTGATATACATGTACCAAGTTTGACATACCCATTGGCTATGCATTTCTCTGTATGTATTTGAAAAATTATTTTTAAAGGTTTTAGGTTATAATTTTTAGGAGACTGATGTGAAAATCCCTGAGAGTGCCCCTTCTCACTTACAGTTAACACATCCCTGCGGTGCTATACCAATAATAGAAGAATATTTTCATCCCACTTTAATATCTTCTTTATGGTTGGGTCGGCAATTTCTACATCAGCCGTTACATGTTCCCATCAGATATAAAACTGTTCGTAGCTGCTGCCTTGCATATATGGAAACCCTGCCCAATAGGTGAAGGTCAATATCACTTTAGTACGACAGAGACAATGGAAAAATTGGTAGCCTTCAAATTTTGCCAGGCAGGTATTTTGAACAGCTTTTTATGTTTTGAAATCACATAAAACAAGGGACATGTAGTCACTTATTCTATTATACAATGCTTATGTGCATTATACCGATGTCATTTTACCGGTATTTGTCACATGTTCTATCATTCAATACTTAATTGTATTAGACCAACATCTTATTTTATAATTTCTGCTGCCAAATTTGCCTATTTCATGCTCAAAGATTGGCACATTTTGTTGCTGGCAGCATTTGCTTTCTAATTCAATTCTAGTAACCAAATACAGCAGGCACACGTGAATTGCTACCCCAAGTCGATATTTACATGATTTCCTTTGTTTAGGGGACTCTCCTTGGTACTGAAAGCACCATCAGATGAGACAGCTTGCCTCTACATCCCCTATACACCATGGTAGTGCCTGAACACAGCTTTTTTTATGCTATTGTATGGTTATGAATTAGTAGATTAACTAGTAGATTAACTTGTGGCGTTTGCCAAATCAATTTAGTCTATTCTATTCTGTAGTTGGCAAACATATGATGAGCACAGTTGCATGTGCTTTTCATAAACAGCATTTGCTTTCCACCAATCAATTACCGAATACAGCCTGGAACTGCTGGATGAATTGATTGTACATTGGACAGGTGCTCTCCTTGGTACTGAAAGTACTATTAAACATGCTAGCTCTCATGGTAGCTTTCTACAGTTTCCATGTACATTTCAGCACTATACACAGAGTGGCAAAGTGGGGGCAATTCTTCGTCGTCTTGACATTTTGTATCATATTATGTATCTTAGATGATCTAAGACTTGCACTGCCATTTGTATGGAAGATACCATTTTATGAGGGGGTGTGGAAAGTACTGCCAGTATTGTTTTGGTCTGTGACATTCTGCTAGAATTTTGTCAGATGAAAATACACCTACCCCAAGAATTGAACTTTCAACCCACATTAAAGACAACTAGAGTGGGTCAGCTATTAAAGGAATCTAAAAATGTTTACATCTGTTTTGAATATCTTCTTCAGGGATGGCAGATCAGAGTACATGTTCTGTTGTTCTAACCCGATACCAAGCCTGGCAACGTTGTCTGGAATGTGTGTCTGTACAGGGAGAGCCAGCATTTGTGTAGTCTAGGGCTTCGTGTATAACTGTAGGCCTTCCTTTTTCCAGAGGGAGTGTGCTGCCAAAGTGCAGTTATATGTGGCTAACTGATTCAGAGTCAATCTTGTATTGCAAGGTAGGTAAAGCACCCACAGCCATTTTTAAGCCATAGGGACAGTACATAGGGTTGTTGATCCATTACATAATGAGTATGGCATTTGCAGGCAGAACCTAGACCTCTCCCTTAGTCTAACATGTATGACGTTTTTCCTCTCCAACTGAAGTTAGGTACCCATTCATACATGAGTGGATTTAGAAAAGTGGTGCGGCTCGTGCCTTTTCCAAGGACACAACATCAAGCCAGGAATGCCAGGAATCAAACCCATGACCTCTCCGGTCCATGTCTGCTAGGCTATAAACCACTTGCCTATATATTGATGCCAAAAATATTGTATGAATCTTGTGCAAAAAGTCAATTGCAAGTGAATGACAATTTACAGAAATTATTGACTTGAATTTGAATCGTGCTGACAATTTCAGACAGCCGCTTTTTACCGTGTTTCCTTGACCGTCACGCTAAGTTTGTGGATAAAGCTTGTCTTCAGGCAAATCCTTTTGTGTATGTTGAACAGGTCTGGATGTCAAAGCCGACGTTGAGTGTTTGGTATCTCTGGAGCTTTGTTGTAGCTGTCTTGCCAAGATGTGTCTTTTGTGTTC